AAGGGTCCTTCTGTTGGCACTGCCCTTACAGACATTAAAAAATGTTACATTGCCCTATAAAAGGACATTTTTGGCTGCTCTGGAAGAGGGATATAAAAGTTAATTGCAGTTATGCCATTTTTTATCCCGACTCTGCTGCCACCTCATGGACAAGACACTAAAGTTACTATAGAAACCCAAAAAAAAAAAAGAGACCACTCTGCTCTGAAATACCACATATTTCTACTCGAGGGAAAACTGCTTTTATATTTGTTTGATTGGGAAGATTCCTGGCACTGAACTTCTCCCAAATCCCACACAGAGAGCTAAAGAAAAGCCTTGAGTCAACAAAAACTGCAAGTGCATGCTCAAGTATAAGCTCCAGTGAAGGGAATTTAAGCTCACTTAAACCAGGGCTTATTTTTGCCTCAGAAAGCCAGAAGGGAACAGATTTTTTATTAAACCAGCCTGAATTTCCTGTTGTAGAATCACGAGTTAAAGGTAACTGTGATGTGTTACACGATGTGATTTTTCTCCTATTTGCCAATACCAGAAAATGGASTCAGAGAACGAGCTTTAATTTAATTTTTTTCCCATGAAGCAGAGCGGAAACTATTAAATCACYGGGATGTTACCTCAATAAGGCAGACAAAAATAAGGCAACAATGGCATAAACTGCATCATCTCCCCAAGCTTTGACTCCAGAGCACATAAACTGGATTTTATTTCAAAGGAAATGCCAGCTGGGATTAAACCAGACACCTGCAGAGTGGCAATTTTGGGGTTGGAATGGGTGAAACCACCCTCTGCCAGCGGCGATTTTGGGGTTGGAATGGGTGATCTCCAGAGGTCACCTCCACCCTCAGCCTCTGAGATGGACAGGGATAGAATCCTGGAATGGTTTGGGTTGGAAGGGACCTAAAACCTACCCAGTTCCAATTTCTGCCATGGGCAGGGACACTTTCCACCCTGTTGCAGGGTGTCTGACCTGGTCTGGGACATTCCCAGAGATCCAGGGGTGAAATCTCAGGGGTGAAACCTTGGAGCTTCACAATTCTCACAGGGAAGAATTCCTTCCCAATCTCCCATCCATCCCTGCCCTCTGGCAGTGKGAAGCCATTCCCTGTGTCCTGTTTGTCCCCAGTTGTAGGGAGTGTTAACAGCTTGCATGGGAATAAAACGCCACGTCCTTGGCTGTCTTGAGAAAAAGAAAATTGGAATGTAGAATTGATAATGCAGGTGGCTTACAATTATAAACATTACTAATACTGTAGCTTTTGCAAAC